ACCCTCCTGTGAGTGAACACAATTGCGTATAGCTGATATGCAAACATTTGGGATTCACTTATATCTTAGCCTGTACTTGGTCAAAGTCCCTCTTATGACTATGACTTGGTGTAGCCTGAAACCAGACTACTGTGGATTAGTGATGTTTTGTAATGGATTACCTCCATGATGAGTACATTTAAATAACAATGGAAACTAGCATATCACTGGCAACACATATAAGGATTTCGGCAAATTTTCACCGTTTTGTATGAAACTATTTTCACAACAACATTAATGTTTTACAATAAATTATATCAAACATATGTATAATTTAGTAGTATTAAAACTTTTTAAGTTTTTTTGAATTAAGAATGCACCAATCTTACTAGGAATCTATTCAAATCTAACCCTTAGTGTGCAGATTTAATAATGGCTCATCAAAGGTATTGAATTACTGAACACACATCTTTGCATAGTTTCCAAAACTAAAATATTATTTCATGCTCTGCCCCCTCTCATGTAACAGTTTGTTAAGAATACGTACATTATTAGTCCCCGTTCGGACGCAGTCCGAAAACGGGGACTTATGTTTTGCCCTGTGTGCGTCCGTCCGTGCGTCCGTGCGTCCGTGATCACCTGTATCTCGAACATGCATGGACCGATTAAGTTCAAACTTCACTCATACATCACACATTATATGGGACATATGCACATGCATTTTTTTCATGATCCGATTAACGATAGCCGAATAGCGGCCATTTTAAGGCCGAAAATGCATCAAAATCGCACATTTTCAACATTCCGGACCCGGATCTCAGTTATGCATGGACGGATTTTGTTCAAATTTGGTACATACATTAAACATAATAGGACCTTGATGCACGTCATTTTTTTTTTTGGATCGGGTTCGAAATGGCCGACTGGCGGCCATTTTGTTTTAAAGAATTCAGTTCTGGATCCGTATCTGAGACATGCTTGGATTGATCGAGTTCAAACTTCACACACACAAGGTACATCATGTCACAAATATGTATGTGCATTTGTTTCATGATCTCATTAACGATAGCCAAATGGCGGCCACTTTAAGGCCGAAAATGCATTGAAA